GGCTGAAGGTGTTGCGTGCAGGCCTCCTCTTGGGTATCGTTGAGCCATGCCCGCTACTGGCGGGCTCCATTTTGGGCCTTTCTGGTTGGGCCATCTATGCTAACTGGTGGGCTTTCACGTAGGCTCTAGGATCACAGATGATGGGCCTGGACTTCGGGCCACCTCCTCGCTGTGTAGAGAGCAGATTCACTCCATGGCAAGGCTGCGAGCATGGCGGCTACCATTCGTCGGCCAAAGCTCACCGTCTTCGGTGAAAGTTTACTGACCGAGAGAGCGCATCGGTGAGGGAAATTCGATGGTGCGGTCGGTTTGAAGTGATTCGCGGGAAATCGCCAAAAAATTAGAGAAGATGACCGGATTTTGACCAAATTTCTCCTAGACCGAATAACTTTGAACGCAAAATTGACAGACTTCCCGAACGAATTTTTGCATGAAATTTTAAGGGGAGAACGAGCGCGAGAAGAGCTTCGCGATGACATAATTTTTTTTTATGATCAGACGACTTTGGCCGATGTAGGCGGATGGCGGCGTCCGACATAAGTTAGATGTTGGAGATTCGCTCGTCGAGAGGATTCCAGTGGTACCCTCAGTTGTTTTATAGCCCTCACTGATCGCCGGAAAAATGAGTTTGAATGCCGAAAGTTGACAAAATTCACTAGATCTGGAAAAGTTTGACCGTTCAAATCGAAGGCCTTCTCGAATGAATTTTCGCATGAGATTTCAAGGGGAGATTTATCTCAAGGAGATCTACCTGTTGACATAAACCATTTTCCGATCAGAGCATTTCGGCCAGCGGAGTCGAAGGAGGTTGTTGGAAAAATTTCAAAATTTTTCGATCGGAACTATGTTTGCCATGGTCGATTATTTGGCTTTTCACGTAGGTCCACAGACGACGCCAAAATGTTGGTGAAAGTTGACTTCACCTGGGCTCCTTCAACTCTGACGACCTCCGTACCTGCTAGATGATATGAAATATTATACTAGACCGAATTTAATCGATAAGAAGGATTATATTGGATAATAAGCCTACATATGAGCTTGGACACATGACATAATGATATGGGTCAAGCCCTACTTGGGTACTAAGGTACACTCCCTCTATAAAGGAGGACTAAACTATTTCAAAACATCACTCTCTGTACATCTATAACTATACTCTTGAGATTTGAAGTTTTGGAGTTGTATTGACTTAGATATCGGAGGTTCGACGCTGGGTCCCTCCCGGCGTTGGGTTCTGCAGGTATGGAGGTCGTCCGAGTTAAAGGAGCCCGGGTGAAGTCAATTTTCACCAACAATAACAAATCACAATATGCTAAGATTATAAATTATATCTAATTAAATTATATCTAAAGATAAACTAATTATTTGTTACTTTATGCAAACTTATAAAACATAATAAACATAATAATTTTTTAAATTTAAATTTGATTGAATGCTTATGCAATTGTTGCGATTTCATTGATGAAACTGAAAAAAATACGACAATGATCGTCATCCACATTTGTTCATTGTTCATCTTTGCCAAACAAAACCATGGGGAAGAGTTTCCATTAAATTAGTTTATAATATATTTATGTTTTGCTATTAATTTGCAGGGAGCATTGTGTGCCTACAAGGAAAAAAATGTTGTCAACAAAAACACTTTTAATAATATATATTATTAAGTTTTATTTAATTATTTAATTTTCTTTATTCATGATTATAAAAAATATGGTTGGATAAATTGCTTTAACATTGTCCGGACATATAGAAGTTAATACTCCCTCCTATTTTTTTTTTTTTAAATGTCATTCTAGCTTTATCAACTATTTGTCAAATAAATATCGTTTTAGATCTTTTCTACGTATTTTTCCATTATGACCATCATTTAGCTAATAAATACATTATGTCTTTTCATATTCACTCTTTATTTTTTTCTCAAAACATTCATCTTTATCTTCATTAAATAAGGTTACTATTGACAAAAAAATATTCTTAATTAACGTGCAACTTCTCAAAACGACATATATTAAAAATAGGAGGTACCTCCTATTTCTTTTAAATGTCATTTTGGCTTTATCAACAATTAACTAAATAAATGTCGTTTTAGGTTTTTTGTACATATTTTTCCATTATTACCTTCATCTAGCTAATAAATACACTACGTCTTTTCATATTCACTCTTCATTTTTTCTCAAAACATTCATCTCTATTCTCATTAATTAGGGTTATTATTGATAAAAAAAATATTCTTAATTATTGTACAACTTCTCAGAACGATATTTATTAAAAATAAAAATAGGAGAGAGTATGATTTTCAAAATAACACTGTAATTACAAAAAAACTGGTTGATGAATACCAGAAAAAGTAAATTATTAATGAGGTCAAAGAAATGTTATTAATGAGGTAAACGATGTCAAATTACAATAATAAAAGTAATCCAAAAAAAATTCTTGAAAAGAATTATCTTAGTTGAAGACAAAATCTAGACAACTCTAGAAGTAGAACTCAGTAATTGACAACGACTGTCACATCAAACTATTGAAAGAAAAATAATAATAAATAAACATATTTTGCGATCAATAAATAAATAACATACAAAACTTAATAAGAAAAGTAAAATTTGCTTAGCAAACAATCCTGACTATTCTTCTTAGCGGTAAATACAAGAAAGAAACATGTAGTAATAGGCATTATAGGAAATAGTTTTGCTACATAGTCCGATAACTCGATTTATGAAATCATTCACGTTTATTCATTAATAATATATTGACACGTGTTCTACAATAAATACACTTTAAATATGTGTCTATACATTAATTGGTGATGGATACATAAGAAAATCATTCGATAACTTTATAAAATTTTTGTAGTAGGAAATTCATCTCTTAGCGGTAAATTATGATATTTGCACAATAACATAATTATACGTTATTTAAATGGGAAATACATAGTTAATGAATCATTCATTCACCCATTTCTTACACACTTTTGTTAATTTTAGGACTGGTCTTTAATATTTAAAATTATTGTATAGTTTTATATTCATATTTTCTACATATTTTTTTTTTAAAATCCATGTGGAGGTAGATAAAATTAATATTTATCTTATGGTAGCTTGATTGAAATAATTTTCATGTATTATTATACATGAACAGTTATATAAGGTAATTTTTAGGTTTATTTGTTATTTTAATTGAAACTAATCAATATATCTAAATTTTATTACATTGATTATGATAAGGGTTAATTGCATAAAAACTCCAACCTTTTTGTTTAATTGTAAATAAAACTCAACCATTTCAATTTGACAAAAAATTACCAAACTTTTATTAAGTGTTGCAATTTTGGCTCACCGGCATGACCTCCGCCAACAGCCACCGCCAACCGCCACCCCCCGCAGGTTAACTTCGAGTTTCACAAAAAAATTCTGACGATAAGGCTTCCAATTTTTCGGTCAAAGGTCGTAGAAAATTTGTAAATTTACGAGAATTGACCGGAAAATTGAAAGCCTTATCGTCGGAATTTTTTCGTGAAACTCGGATATGTTGTCAGCACGGATGAGAACTACAAGATCATGTAAATATTTTCAATATCCGGCGAATAGCGGTTGGCGGCAGCGGTCCGGCGGGCACATTTATAAAAGTTTGGTATTTTTTGCTAAATTAAAAAAGTTGAATATTATTTACAATTAAACAAAAAGATTGAGATTTTTTATGCAACGAGAACGTTTACTAAAAAGTTATTAAGATTTAAAATTTAATAAGCAAGATTCACAGTTACAATAATTAATATAAATATAAAGATAAAAATACGATAGAAAAACATATAAATTGAAAATTAAATTAACTCTAATGATTAATAAATAATATATTACGTGTAATCCATTCATAAACACAAAATATGGAGGGTTGTTCACGAAAATGAAAGGAATTGTGAAACGTGGCATCTATTCATAGGTCAAGTGATCTTTGTTTTAGACAATGACAAAAATAAACAGACGTTTGAATTACGGCAAAGTTTCGGAGGGTAATAACCTAAACGGCGCCGTTGAAGTTGCCCCCTCCCACCCTTGTTAAACAATTTTCACCTCTTCTCTCTCAAATTTTCTCAGTAACCGACTCTCTCTCTCTCTCTCTCTCTCTCTCTCTCTGTCACATACTGGTGCATTGAATGGCGCAGAGTAGTTGAAGAAAGGTACTGTAGCATCATCACGTTTGTTTTTTTTGCTTATT